GTCCCACTGTTTCCACTTCGTTCCCATTGTCCCCACACCACTGTCCCCACCACCACCGTCACCACCACTGTCCACTGTCCCCCTCTGTTCCCACCATTGTCCCCACCACTGTCCCCACCACTACCGTCCCCACAGCTGTCCCACTGTCCCCACCACTGTCCCGCTATCCCCTCACCACTGTCCCCACCACTACCGTCCCCACCACTGTCCCACTGTCCCCCCACTGTCCCCACCACTGTCCCGCTGTCCCCTCACCACTGTCCCCACCAACACCGTCCCTACCACTGTCCGCACCCCCACTCGGTTTTCGAGGGGGGGGGGGGTTCGAACCGGTAGTGACCCCCCCCCTTTTCATGATGAGCTGGGGGGGGGGGGAGGGGTTCGAACCGGTAGTGACCCCCCCCGGTTTTCCGGAGGGGGGGCGGGGGGGAGGGGTTCGAACCGGTAGTGACCCCCCCCGGTTTTCCGCCAGCAGCGGTAGAACACGCTCTTTCAGAAATCGAGACCACGACCCAGGGGCCGAGAAAACGAGAAAACGTGAAACGCACCAGGGCCAAAGAAAACGAGGCGACGACACAAAGGCCCAGAAAACGAGAAAACGAGAAACCAAAACAGCGTCCGCGAAAAGGAGACCACGACCCAGGGGCCGAGAAAACGAAAAAACAAACCAGGGTCAGAGAAAACAAAACCACAATCCAGGGGCTGAGAAACGGAGGGCGCGAGAAACCGAACCAGGGCCCGAGAAAACGGGACCACGATCCAGGGGCCGAGAAAAAAAAAAAAAAAGGACCCGGGTCAGAGAAAACGAAAACACGCCCCAGGGGCCGAGAACACGAGAAAACGCGAAAACGAACCAGAGTCCGAGGAAAAATGAGACCACGACCCAGGGGGGGGAGAAAACAAGAAAACGAGACCACGAACCAGGGCACGAGAAAACGGCACAAAAACCCAGAAGCCGAGAAAGCGAGAAAACGAGACAACAAACCAGGGCCCGAGAAAACGAAACCACGACCAAGGGGCCGAGAAAACGAGAAAACAAACCAGCGCCCGAGAAAACGAGACCACGACCCATGGGCACAGAAAACGCGAAAATGAAACAGGGTCCGAGAAAACGAGAACCACGGCCCAGGGGCCGAGAAAACGAGGAAACGAGAAAACGGAGCAGGGCCCGAGAAAACGATACTACGAACCAGCTGTCGCGGCCCCCGGGTGGTGGTCTCGTTTTCTCGGGCCCTGCTTCGTTTTCTCGTGTCCTCGGCTCTTGGGTCGTGGCCTCGTTTTCTCGAAGCAAGCTTTTTGTTGGTGATCTCGGCCCCTGGGTCGTCGTTACGTCGGACCCTGGTTAGTTTTCTCGATTTCTCGTTTTCTCGGCCCCTTGGTCGTGGGTCATTTTCGCGTTTTCTCGTTTTCTCGGCCCTTGGGTCGTGGTCTCGTTTTCTCTGGCCCTGGTTCGTTTTCTCGTTTTTCATTTTTGTTTCGGCTCCTGGATCGTGGTCTCGTTTTCTCTGACCCTGGTTCGTTTTCTCGTTATCTTGTTTTCTCGGCCCCGAGAAAAGGAGAGTACCAGCCAGCGTCCGAGAAAACAAGACTACGACCCAGGGACCGAGAAAACGAGAAAACGAGACAACGAACCAAGGTCACCACGACCAAGGGGCCGAGAAAACGAGAAAACGAGAACACGAACCAGGGTCAGAGAAAACGAGACCGCGACCCAGGGGCCGAAAACACGAGAAAAGAAGAAAACGAACCAGGGGCCGAGAAAACGAGAAAACGATAAAAGAAATCAGGGCCCGAGAAAACGAGACTACGAACAAGGCGCCGAGAAAACAAGGGAACAAAAAAACGAACCAGGGGTCGACATTATTCTCCAATGCGTTCTCTAGCGCTGCGGTGCACACCTGTCTGCAGGGATTCAGCCATTTTGCAATAACCCGGGAAGGGAGGGGGGGCAGGGTAGCTTCGGAAGACCCCCCCCCCTTGCAAAGGAGGGTGCAGGGGGGTAGCTTGAAGCCGCTCCCCCCTGTGTCCAGACCAAACGAAGAAGGGGGGGGAGGCTTCCGAAGCCCCCCCCCCCTGTAAAAGGGAAGCCCGGGCTCACCTTCTGCTTGGAAAAGGGAGGGAGGGGGGGATAGCTTCGAAGCCCCTCCCCCCTTTAGCCAGGGCCCCCCTAGCTGAGAAACCCTTACAGAAGGGAGGGGGGGTGGTGTAGCTTCGAAGCTCTCCCCCCTGTTGGAAGGGAGGGGGGGGTACCTTGAAGCTGGGGCCCCACTTTCCTTTTTCCCGGCGTGCGGGCGCACTCTTTCGCTCCTTCCCCCTCTTGGCGCGGCGAAGCAAGTCCGCGCGTGACCACCTACTGAGAATCAGGAGCAAGGCGAGGACCAAAGTCCCCATCCTTCTCCTCCTCCATCCTCCCTTCTCCTGCTCCTCCTCATCCTCCTCAATCCTCGTCACCTCCTCATCGTGAGCACCACCATCCTCCTCACAAACAATAGAACATCCGCACATGGCATCAAATGTCACCAGCACATCATCATCAGAACAATCAGCAGCAGCATCCTCCTCATCATCATCACCAGCAGCAGCATCAGCATCATAAACATCAGCAGCAGCAGCAGCAGCATCACCACCGTCATCACCTGTGCCATCAATAACATCAACAGCGTAATCCTCAGCAGCGGCAACATACAATCGTCAGCACCACCACCAGCAACATCATCATAGTATCGCCATCACCATCATCACAATCATCCTCATGATAAGCATTGCATCATCATGATCAGAATCATCATCAGCATCAGTATCAACATCATCATCACCATCATATCCTCATCGCCGTCGGCATCATCACAATCAGTACCAGCACTTCGTCATCATCACATCATCATCAGCAGCATCATCAGTACCATCATTATCACCACCACCACCAGCAACAGGAGCCGCAGATTCATCAACAACAACATAATCATCACAAATTACCACCATAACCATCACCATCGCCATCACCATCACCACCAACATCACCATCAACATCACCATCACCAACAGCATCGCCATGGCATCATCATCATCACCATCATCATCATCATCATCATCATCATCATCGTAATCAGCATCATCATCATCATCATCATCATCATCATCATCATCATCATCATCATCATCACCAGCATCCTCATCCTCATCAGCAGCATCATCGTCCACATCGTCGACGTCATCGTCTTCGTCAGCAGCATCATCAGCAGCATCATCACCACTATCATTGTCAAAATCCGTTGCCGGCACTATTATCATCAGCATCACGATCACCATCATCAGTATCATCACTACCATAAAGTATCATCGTCGTCATCATCATCCCATCATCATCAACACCAGCATCATCATCATCATCATCATCATCATCATCATCAGCATCATCATCATCATCATCATCAATCAGTATAGCCATCACCATCCCATCATCATCATCAGCAGCAGCAGCATGTTCAGCATCAGCATCGGCATCACCATCACCATCACAATATCATCAGCATCCTCAGCATCATCAGCATCATCAACATCAGCATCAGCTTCATCATCATCGTCATCAGTATCAGCATCAACAACATCATCATGATCATCGCCATCACCATCGCCATCACCAACAACGCAACCGTCAGCATCCTCATCATCAGCAACAGCATCTTCACTGTCGTCAGCAGGACACGGAGTGGGCGTGTCCTCTGAACATGTGCCTCGATCCTGAGGGTGCTTTATGGACCCGGGCCCCGCATTCACACATCTCATGTGGCTTGCAGCGTGCACCCTGGGCCGTGCATCATCTTCTCGAGTAACTTTGTCGGGCCGACGGCCAAAGAGGCTCCCAAGACGGTCCAAGAGGCCTCCAGGAGGTCTCCCAAGAGCGTCCCACGAGGCCAAAGACATGAATTGTCAAAAGGTGTTTGCGGGTTGCTGGTCTTCTCGCCTATTCGGCTTTCCGACGCCCCAAGACGGCCCAAGACGCCCCGAAGATCGCCCCAGGACGGCCCAAGAGGCCCCCAAGATGGCCCCAAGACGGCCCAAGCGGGCCCCAAGACTGCCCAAGAGGCGCCCAAGACAGCCCAAGAGGGGCTAAAGACGGTCCTAAGAGGGGGGCCCAGATGGGAAACCCTAACGGACACTTCGAGCCCTCGGCCCCGAGGCGGCCCTAGGGGGGCCCACGCGGCCCCCAAGAAGCCCACACAAGAGGCGCCAAGAGGCCCTCAAGGGGCCCCAAGAGGCCCCCAAGACCTCCAAGAGGCTACCAAGAGGGTACCAACAGGCTCCAAAACTGTCCCCAAGAGAGCCCCGAGAGCGCCCCGAACAGGCCCCAAGAAGCATCAATGTGGCGGGATGGGCCGAAGGCCATTAGACTTTCGCCATCTCCATCGTCATCGTGATTCGGATCGTCCCCCTCGTCCCACGCGGCCGAGGCAGCAATCGCGCCTCGCGCTGCCCTGCGAGGGCGCCTGTGAGACTCGCGGGCGCGCATCACGGCCATCGGAAGGGAAGTCCTGCTGGCGGGGGCTCGGCCAGGATGGCGATCCTGATCCACCTCCATCCTGCAGCCTCCTCCTCTTCTTCTTCTTCTTCTTCCTCCTCCTCCTCATCCTCCTCCTCATCCTCCTCCTCCTCCCTCCCCACGTCCCGTCCCGATCATCCATCCCAACCCCATCCTCCTCATCCTGCGAGTGGTGGCATCGGGGTATGTCGAACCGACGCTGCCCGACTGGTGCTGCCCTCGTCCTCCTCTCGCATCACCCTTTTCGTTATCCTCTTCCGTCTCCTCCTCATCCTCGTCTGCATTAGCATCAGCATCATCAACAACAATAACAACAACATCAGCAACATCATCATCAACAGCAACATGAGCATGATGAACATCCTCATCACCATCATCATCATCATCATCGTCATCATCATCATCATCATCATCATCATCAGCAGCAGCAGCAGCAGCATCGTCAGCATCATCAACATCATCATCATCATCACCAGCATCATCATCAGCATCATCACCATCAGCATCAGCATCGTCATCATCATCATCATCAGCAGCATCAGCACCATCATCATCATCCGCGTAATCAGCATCACGATCACCATGCTGATGCTGATGATGCTGATGATGATGATGATGATCCTGATGCCGATGGTGATGCTGAGAAGGTGAAGCAGGAGGGAGATTCGGGAAGAGGAAGCGGATGGAGGAGGGGGAGGATGATGGTGGCATGGAGTATAATGGTGACGATGTTGCAGCTGACGGCGATGACGGTGATGCTGGTAATGTGCCTGATTATGATGATGTTGATGATGCTGCTGATGATGTTGCGGCTGATGTTGATGTTGATGGCGATGCCGATGCCGATGATGATGCTGATGATGCTGATGAAGACGATGCTGGTGGTGTTGACGGCCATGGCGATGGTGGTGATGATGATGTTGATGCTGTTGCTGATGCTGCCCACGGAGTCGACGATGAGGATGAGGATGAGGATAATGATGATGATGATGATTATGATGATGATGATGATGATGCTGATGATGATGAAGACGCTGATGATGATGGTGATGATGATGAGGAGGATGATGATGATGCTGATGTTGACATTGACGTTGAAGCTCACGATGATGCTGGTGTTGATTACACTGATGATGATTAGTATGCTGATGTTGATGATGGTGATGACGGTGGTTGTGAGGATACTTGCGGTGGTGGTTGTGCTGATGCTACTGCTGCTGATGATGATCATTATGGCGATGCTGGTTATGGTGATGATGATGATGCTGAGTACGATGATGCTGGTGATGGTGGTGATGCTCCTGATGACGATGATTATGACGATGGTGTCTATGCTGCTGCTGATGATGGTATTGATTATGATGATGCTGCTGATGCTGAGCAGCATCATCAACAACACATCGACCTCCGTATCAGCAGCAGTATGGTCGTCATCATTGGAAGCATCATGATTATTAGCAGCATCATCAGCAGCATTATCATACACCCCACCCTATCCCCATCCTCCTCACCATCATCATCATCATCACCACCATCATCATGGTCATCAGTATCATCACCAGCATGGGTGACTGCGACAATGCTTAGCTGTTCAGCTCAGGGCTCCAGCCGCGAGGCGCCCACATGATATGCTTGAACGCGCGTGCGCACACCAAGTGCCGGCCTTGGCGCTATTTGTGCCTCACGCTGCCAATAAGACAGCGGAATCCTGTGCCTGAAACTGCTACACAAGAGGGCAAGGGAGAGCAGGAGGGAAGGCGAGGAGGAGAGACAGGGAAGAGAGGGCGCAGGAGGGAGGCCAAACAGCATCATCATTAGCAGCAGCATCAGCATCATCATCATTAGCGTCAACAGCAGCAGCATGACCATCATCAATAGCATCATCAGCATTATCATCAGCATCATCATCATCATCGCCATCATCATCAGCATCTTCATCATCATCATCCTCATCCTCATCCTCATCATCATCATCATCATCATCATCATCATCATCATCATCATCATCATCATCATCACCATCACCATCACCATCACCATGCATCATCATCAGCAGCACATCAGCATCATCGTCGGCATCATCGTCGACATCGTCGGCCGTCGTCGTCGTCGTTTTCGTCGTCAGCATCATCATCAGCATTAGCAGCATCACCTTCATCATCGTCGACAGCGCCATCAGCAACATGAGTAGCATCATCATAATCATCATCATCAGCATCATCATCAGCAGCATCAACAGCAGCATCATCAGCATCAGCAGCATCATCACCAGCATCATCATCACCAGCGTCATCAGCGCCACCAGCGCCATCATCAGCAGCAGCATAAACAGCATCAGCGTCAGCGTCATCATCACCAGCAGCATCATCCTCATGATCAGCAGCAGCAGCACCAGCGTCATCGTCATCATCATCATCATCAGCATCATCATCATCATCGGCATCATCATCATCAGCAGCATCATCGTCATCATCATCAGCATCATCGTCATCATCAGCAGCAGCATCAGCGTCATCGTCATCATCATCAGCATCATCATCATCATCGTCATCATCATCGTCATCATCATCATAATCATCATCATCATCAGTATCCTCATCATCATCATCGTCATCACCACCACCACCACCACCATCATCATATTCATCATCATCATCATCATCATCATCATCATCATCATCATCATCATCATCATCATCATCATCATCATCATCATCATCATCATCATCATCATAATCATAGTCATCATCCTGCTCATGATCATCCCTCCCAACCTATATCCCTCTATCACTCAATCCCTCGTCCTCCTCCTGTCCCCTGCCCAAATCGTAATCTCAGCTATTCCTCCGCCCTCATCCTTCTCAGCATCGTCATCTGGCCTCCTACACTGTGCTCCTCCTCCTCCTTATCCCCTCCTCTTTCTCCTCCTCTTTCTCCTCCTCCTCCTCCTCCTCCTCCTCCTCCTCCTCCTCCTCCTCCTCCTCCTCCTCCTCCTCCTCCTCCTCCTCCTCCTCCTCCTCCTCCTCCTCCTCCTCCTCCTCCTCCCTCCTCCTCCTCCTCCTCCTCTTAGCGCCTGTTCAGTTCGCTTCCACCTGGAAGCTGCCAGCCGGCGCCAGGCGGCCCCCTCGCGCCGCTGCCGCCCCCTCCCTCCCCCCCTCCCTCCGCGCTCCGTTGCCCGCCATGCCGCCATGGCTTGCTGCCGCAGGCCGCCTGGAGCGGCCTGGCCGCTCGGCGGCCAAGCGCCTGGCGCAAGCCGCCCGCGCGCGGGTTCGCGCCGCGCAGTTGCTCATCCGCGACTTCGCGGAGCTGTCGCACTGGGGGTGCAGGCCACCACGCCGTGGGGCCGCATTGGCGGCTGCCCGAGGGGGTGGCCCGTGCGCACCGGCTACAGGGCCAGATCCTCGGCGTTTCGCCGTCAAGCTCCCCAAGAAGAAGAGCCACCTCATGATGCTGGTGGAGTGGCACCTCCTGCAAATCGTGGCGCTGATCGTGATCCTTGGAGCGGTGGTCGTGACCCGTGGTCATCCGCTGCGCCTGCGCGGAGGCATACAGATCTCCGTAAAGCCGCTGACGGTGCTGCTCATGCCGTGGATGCCCAGCCTATGGCTCATCGTGGTCGTCGCCGTGAAGGTCCTGCTGCTGGCGGCCCAGCGGCGGCTGCTGCTGGTCATCGGCCCGCAGCTCCTGCAGCTCTTGAGGAGAGCCACGCACATTGTCCTGCTGTCTGTCAGGATAGGTTTGTCACTGGACATACTGTTCGCGCGGTGCCGCCCGAGCGCCGTGCCTGTGTGAGGATGCGCCGCTATAGCACTAGTGGCAGTGGAGCTGGTCCTGCCGAGCTTCCCGATGAGCATGGCCAAGACTCGCGGGCCCACATGCGAGCCCCTGCTGCTCGTCAGGTGTCTCGTGAAGAACACCTTGCTCGATTCGGCGCGGGAGCGCCTCCTGCCAAGAACAAGGACAAGGAGAAGGATGTAAGGGCCAAGCGTTTGCTCCTGCTTAGCCTTCCTCCTCCTTCCTGCCTCTTCCCCTCCGTCCCCTCCCTCGTAGATCCGGCATCAGACATGAGATGGTGGAGGTTCGGAGGAGATAAGACAAGGATGAGAATGTTGATGAAAATGAGTATCACGAGGCAGCACAATCTGCCGTGATTTGTTGACGTCTACCCAGCCGGCGGTGGCAACCAGAGGAAGTTCTGGTTTGAAGTTCGCCGCCTGTTGAGCCCCAGGCTTGCAGTGCATAGGAGTCATCGTGGTCCGTGATTGCACTCTGTGGGTCGGGTTCTTCTGGCATGTTGGTTGGAGGGCAGGCCCTGCACCGCTGAGCGGTACAGGGTTTGCATTCAAACCTGCGTTGCTGGATGGCCCAGCCTTGCCCTCGACGTGTCCAATCCAATCCTCCTCCTCTTCCTCCCTCTTCGCCTGCCCCTCCCCTGCCTCCTACTCACTCTCCTCCTCCCCTTCCCTCGTCTCGTTTCGCCCTCCTGTTGCTTGGCCTACCCGTTGTGCGAGCAGACTTCTCAATCAACGGGGCCGCGCACCAGCGGACCATCGCTGCACAGACAAAGGGGCCAACTGATGGAGGCTCCGAGAAGCCCGCGGGCGACTGGCAGGGCGCAGTGAGGAGTAGCAGCAGGAGCAGCGCGAGCACAAGCAGCAGAAAGTGCAGAAGGCATGAACAGGAGCAGGGGGGGAGTCGGGGAAGCAGGAGGAGCAGGAGGCGCGGAAGAGGGCGGAGGAGGAGGACGAGGAGCACAAAGGGCTATCATATGGGTGGAAGGGCATCGCGCTCGTTATCATGATGGCCGCGAACCGAATTGAGAACCGAGAACCAGGTCTGGAACCGAACCGGCCGACCCGAACCGGCCGGCCAAACCGAACCGGCCGAACCGAACCGGCCCGCTGTGCGAACCGAACCAACCGAACCGAACCGGCGGAAACCGAACCGGCCGAACCGAACCGGCCAACCAGACGGTACCGAACCAGCCGAACCGGACCGGACAAACGGAACCGAACCGACCGAACCGGAGTGCAAATCAGGACCCGGACCCCAGGACCCGCTCGAACCTTGACCTCCCCGGTCCGGACCCCCCCCCCCCGGTCCAGACCCCCCCCGGTCCGGACCCCCCCCGGTCCGGACGCCCCCCGGGTCCGGACCCCCCCCGGTCCCGGACCCCCCGGACCCCCCCCCCGGTCCCGGTCCGGACCCCCCCGGTCCGGACCCCCCCCCGGTCCGGACCCCCCCGGTCCGGACCCCCCGCGGTCCGGACCCCCCCCGGTCCGGACCCCCCCCGGTCCGGACCCCCGTCCGTCGTCGTGGTCCCCCGTCCGTCGTCGTGGCGGTGTTGACGCCGCCCCGGACTCCCCAACGGCCGAGGTCCTCGTCCTCGTCCTCATCCTCGTCCTCTTCCTCGTCCTCCTCCTCCTCGTCCTCCTCATCCTCCTCTCCTCCTCCTCCTCCTCCTCCTCCTCCTCCTCCTCCTCCTCTTCCTCCTCCTCCTCTTCCTCCTCCTCCGGAGGAACCTCCCTCGCCCCCGCTGTCCCCATCCCCGTCGGGGCTGCCGATCGGGACGGCCTGGAATCGAAACGAATCGAAATCGGGCTGACTGAAATCGCCTCTGCATAAATTCGAACCGGCCGAACCAACCGAACCGAACCGGCCGAACCGGACCGGTCGGAACACTTAAAACCGAACCGGTCGAACCGAACCAGCCGAACCGAACCGGTCGAACCGAACCGGTCTACGACTAAGAACCGAACCCGTCGAACCGGTTTGCGACGCGAACCGGAACCGGTCGAACCGAACCAGTCGCACATCGAACCGAACCGGACCGGACCGAACCGCGGCTTTCATGCGTTATGGTCGAACCTCCTCCTGCACTGCACGCAGACAGAAGACGCAACATCCTCCCTCCTGATCATCATCAACAACATCATCATTACCATCATCATCATCATCATCATCATCATCATCATCATCATCATCATCATCATCAGCATCATCATCATCAGCAGCAGCAGCAGCATCAGCAGCAGCAGTAGCATCAGCACCAGCATCAGCACCAGCATCAGCACCAGCATCAGCATCATCATCATCGTCATCAGCATCATCATCATCATCACCATCATCAGCATCATCGTGGTCAGCATCATCATCATCATCATCATCATCATCATCATCATCATCATCATCATCATCATCATCATGAGCAGCATCATCATCAGCAGCATCAGCACAATCATCATCATAATCATAATCGGCAGCAGCAGCATCATCATCAGCGTTCTCATCGTCATCGTCATCATCACCATCATCACCATCATCGGCATCCTCATCCTCAGCATCATCAGTATCATCATCATCATCGTTGTCGTCATCAGCACCAGCATCATCATCAGCAACAGCAGCATCATCGTCGTGGTCGTAAGTAGCAGCATCATCATCACCACTACTCAGCATCACAAATATCAATATCGTCGTCATCATCATAAGCACCATCATCATCATCATCATCATCATCATCATCATCATCATCATCATCATCATCATCATCATCATCATCACCATCATCATCATCATCATCAACATCACCCTCATCGGCCAACCACACTCTACATGCCTCCCATACGAAACAAACAAATCCACTACACTTCCCATGATGAGGCCACCAGGCATGATCAGGCCACTAAACATCGGGGCGATGTACGGCTGATCGGCTGTTCACCCTCCCGGGGGACGCCCTCTTCCCCCTAGAGGGAGGGGAGGAGGCGTGCAGCATCCCGCCTCCTTCCCACTTCCCACATCCCCTGGAGTAGGAGGGAGGAAGGACGGAGGCGGGAGGGAGGAGGAAAAAGAGGAATGAGGGTGACTCTGGCCTCTCCCTCCAAGATGTTTCCCTGGCCCCATCTCCCGGAGTCGCCCAGCGAAGATCGCCAGCAACAGGGCTTCTGACAACGCGTACAGGATACTCTTCGTAAGCGACTGCCCCGAAGGAGGAGGGGCCGAAGCCGCACCAGGAGCATGGAAGAGCAGGAGCAAGAGCAGGAACGGTGCCAGGAAGGAGAACGGCAGCACGAGCTGGAGGAGCAGTGGGTGGCAGGAGCATGGACGGAGCAGGGACCGCGAGCCATACTGCGCGGCTGGACCGCGGGGCCGCGAGCCCCCCCCCACCAGGCGCGGCCGCGAGGCGCGGGTCGGGATGGCGAGCGGATCCTCGGATCTGGCCGTGGTGGGCGTAGCGGCGGTCTCCGCCCTGGCAGCGAGGCGGCGGGACGCGGCGGGCACGGGGTGGCGCGGGGACGGGGGGGCCAATCTCAGCGAACTGGCAGCAGTCCCTGTTGACAGAGGTCAGATCCTGGATGGATCGGAACCAATCCTGGCTGAAAACCCTGCTCCGCAGAGGTTGTGAAGAGGCCTCCTGGAGGCCCGGAGGCCCTGAAAAGGCCTCTAAGAGTCCAAGAGGCTCTGAGGAGGCTTCTTCCGAACTTCTTCGAAGGTCTGAAGGACTTCCTCAGAGAGAAGACTCACGGAAGCCCCTGGGAAGCGCCTGAGAAGCCCCTGGGAAACGCCTGAAAAACCGATTCCAAAGTAGCTTCATTTGGTCAAACGTTGTCGCTTGGAATTGCTGTGTTGGTTTGACCGTTCAAGTCAGAGAGATAGCCAGCGTCGGTTGCTGAGTGGCGCATGTTATATCTGGGCCCACCACATTACACCAGCAAGAGTGTCATATTGTTGCTGGTGAATGGAATGTGCTCCTCGGTTGGAGCAAAGTGCTGGTCCAAACGACCTCGTCAAGATGGTCAGAGTGTTGTCGTTCAGAGGGTGTGTCATCTTCTGGTCAGAACGATGGTCAGGATCGTCATGTTGAAAGGAGCGTTATTGGTGGGAGGAGTGGATGTGCTGATTTAATGTTACAGACAATTTTTCTAGATTCAGAATGATGGCCCGAGACACTCATTGAGTGACTGTGTTTCGTTGGTTCGAGTATTTGTGCCGATTTGATTTGATCGCTTGCCTGGTTTATTTATTTTGATCATATCGTTGACTTAATACGCTCGTGGGTTACAGCAGGTTGTCGGAAAAATGCTTCCTTCGTCAAAGTCATATCAGTGGTTAGAGCCTTGTGTGAAACTGTCGTAGCAGTCATAGCTCACACGGGAATGCGACATGACGGGAGTGGTCCCAGGTTCCAGATTCGCTGGAATTGGTCTCCCAAACAGAATTAACACCCTGGCCCGAACAATCTGACGCAAACATCCCAACACCCGAATCCAAACACCCAAACCCTGGCACCCGAACTCTAACACCCTAACCCGAACACCTAAACCCTAACACCCAAACCCGGACACCCTAACACTAACCCTAACGTCCGAACCTTAACCTTGCCATCCTAACCCTGCAACTATAAACCGAACACCCAAACCCTAACCCGACCCAACAAAAACTAGCACGCTAACACTAACACCCTAATCCTACCGTCTTAAGCCGAACACCCAAACCCTAACACCCAAGCCCAAGCTCTACCGCCCTAGCACTACCTCCTTAACCCTAACACCCTAACCCGAACACCCGAGCCCAAACCCTACCGTCTGAACCCCTAACACCCAACCCCGGCCTAGCTCTTACAAACTATCCCGAGCACGGCCGCCCTAAACCGAACCATACAACCCTAAGCGTAACACCCGAATCCTGACACCTTCACCCCAACCTTGACACCCAGTGTATAGTTGGAGCCTCCCGAAAACCTCCCAGGCATTCGGCCCGTCGACCTTTTCCATGCATGGGCCCCAGCACATCGAGACCCCTTCATCCCGAGTCGTGTTTTTCACGGCCCCAAGGACCGAAGCCAGCCTCCACAAGGCAACAATTGCGACAGCCCCGACGACTTGGCTCCAAGAGCATCCTCCAACATCCAACCTCCAACCTCTAACCTCCAACCTCTAACCTCCTCCTCCTCCTCCTCCTCCTCCTCCTCCTCCTCCTCCTCCTCCTCCTCCAGCGGCGCGCCCCCGCCCTGCCCGCGCGGCCTGCGGAGAACCTCCCGCCGCCTCGCCTGCGCGTCCTCGCCGGTGCCTGGCGGCCCGCTGGTGCCGGCCGGGCCGGGCCCCACAGAGCCGCCACCGGCGCCCCGCCCTTCGGAGGGGCAACGACAGGCGCGGCCTGGCGCAGGCCCCCGCCTCTCCGCGCCACCACTCGGCCCTGCCTCCCCGCCAGTCGCCGCCTTGGCGGACGAAGCGGCGCGGAGACGGCGGCAGTGGCGGCAGCGGCGCTGGCGGCAGAGGCAGCAGAACCATCAGCAGCAGCGGCGAGCGTGGCTGAGTGGCATCGATAGCGGAGGGAAACATCGACCTGGAATCGGCGGTACGTCGCCGATAGATCGGCGATAGGCTGCCGATAGCGAATCCACACGCTCCTTGACGGGGTGAAGCTATCGGGCCTCGCATCGGCGATCAATGGGAAGTTCGAGGTCGATGAATCCTTCACAATTACTCAATATGAATACTACTCTCCCTCTTCCCCTGATGACGTGCTGGGAGTGTTCGCCCCCCCCCCCCGCGTCCTGCTTTTTTACACGCAGCGCTGGCGCCATTACCCGTGCCATGCCACGGCATGCGATGCAATGCTAGGTTGATACTACGCTTTGCGGTGCTCTGCTACGCCATGCCATGCCGTGCTCTACAATGCATCGCGTACCCTTTCGGGATCATTGCCCTGCTCGACATCCGACTGTGCGAGTAGAGAGGGGATCTGCGCCATGGTAAGGGATGGGAGGGAGGGGTAGGATGTCAGATATGACGCGAGCGCACCTAGCTTGCCTATGCGTACCCCCCCTTCTAGTTGCCCCCGCCCTTCGCAGCCCCACGAGGCCAGCGGCAAGGGAAGAGGAGGCCGAGGGCAGAACAGCTCGGTGGCAACTCACGGGAGCTTCCCATATCATCCTGTTGGCTCTTGCGAATCGACGCTAATCGACGCTAAATCGAAGCTAAGCGACGCGAACTCGACGCTAGTCGGCCTAAATCGACGCTTTCTCATGGATTACCAGACGCTACTCGACAGGAATGCACTCTTAAGACGGAATTGCGAAAGTATACAAGGCTCACAGCTACCGAACAGCAGCAAGAGCACAGGAGGACGAGGTCAGGACATGAACATGTCGGGTACAAAGAAGCTCGGAGGTCTCTGAGAGCCCCCGAATCCAGAGGGCGTACGGGGCGCGCGGGCTCCAGAGCGCTCCAGGACGCTCTGAGAAGGCTGTTTGGAAAGAGTTACTGAAAATGCCTGACAGGACGAGGAAGAACAGACGTCCATCCTCCATTCACGCGTCCCCCTTCCTGCCCGCCCCAACATCGACCATCCTCTCCCACCCTTCAGTCCCTCTGTTCATTCCCGTGCCTCGGGGACGGGCTGTCCTTGATCAGCGCAAACCCGGGTCAGCCAGGATCATGTCGGGAACCAGGTCACGTGAAGGTGATGTTTACACACAGGCTTCCTGGGAGTTGGGTTGTCGCTTCGGTTTGTTTTCACAATGCTGCTCTCGCTGAAGCGCTGGCATCATGTTCGGGCTACCGCTCGTTCCGAATCGTGCTCCCGCTGCAGCGCTGGCCTCATGTCCGCGCTTCCGCTCGTTCCGAGTCGTGCTCACGCTGCAGCGCTGGCGTCATTACTTCCATCGCAATGCCACGGCATGGTTTTCGGTCCTTCCAAATAGGCCCGATATTCTAAAATGGCCCCCGAAAAAACCATCGGAAGTGATTACACATTCGATGCCGATTCGTTGACTTTGGGGGCCGCAAAAGCCCCCCCACTTTGGGGCGTCGCCACGCCATGCCATTTCAGGCTACGCGTCTTCATGTCCGCGCTTCCGCGCTTGGATGTTTGTCCAAAATGCTGCTCTCGCTGGAGCGCTGGCCTCATTTTCGGGCTACCGCTCGTTCCGAATCGTGCTCCCGCTGCAGCGCTGGCCTCATTTCCGTGCTTCCACTCGTTCCGAATCGTGCTCCCGCTGCAGCGCTGGCGTCATTATTTCCAGCGCCATGCCACGGCATGGTTTTCGGTCCTTCCAAATAGGCCCCAAAGTTGGAACATGGCCCCCCGAAAAAACTATCGGAAGTGATTACACATTCGATGCCGATTCGTTGCCCACTTTGGGGCGTCGCCACGCCTTGCCATGTCAAGCGATACGTCCTCATGTACGTGCTTCCGGGTTTGGGTTTTTGTCCAGAATGCCGCTCCCTCTGAAGCGCTGGCCTCATGTTCGGGCTACCGCTCGTTCCGAATCGTGCTCCCGCTGCAGCGCTGGCCTCATGTCCGCGCGTCCGCTCGTTCCGAATCGTGCTCACGCTGCAGCGCTGGCGTCATTATTTCCAGTGCCATCACTCCCGAAGAAACCATCGGAAGTGATTACATATTCGGTGCCGAGACGTTGGTTTCTGGGCCGCAGAAGCCCCCCCGCTGTGGAGCGTCGCCACGCCATGCTATGTCATGCTACGCGCTAATCTTCACCATGTTACAGCATCGGATTGTGCGACTAGAGAGGATATCTACGCCGTGGTAAGGGATCGGAGGGAGGGGTAGGACGTCAGAGATGACGCGAGCGCACACATTTGACTCCAATTTGTGCCGCGAGCTTGGCTCCAACGTGCGTCGCGAGATTCCCAGTTCGTCACGGAATAGGCTCCACTTACCTCGCTGAAGGCCCAGCGTCGCGAGCATGCGCTTGCAATGATTCCAGATCACCGCCCAGAATGTAATTTTCTTACCCTTTCGCCGTTCGTCGGATCAGCCGAGGCTGGTCCTGTGGGCATGTCCCTGGGCGCTCCACCAGCACAAAGCCTGGCCAGTGCGTTTAGATGGTGAACAGACCCTCGTGAGTCGGACGGCCGGGCACCATCCACGGGCCCAGGATGGCAGTGGCCAGGCGTGGTGGTGATAGTACTGAAATGCCTCGCCCTTCAACTACAGGGCAGCGAAAAAATCCACCCGCGGCCTTCGACGGATACTGACCCTCCCCAGGACCTCGACCGCCATTTCCCCTTGGGAGTATGCGCCCCGGTACTTCCACCGGCTTCCGCCGACCTTCTGCAAGAATCCCGAAGTCTGCCATCTGCCGACGTCCCACCTTCCGCCGACCTTCCTTTGTTCCCAACCATCCTGTGGTGTTGGGTCCTCATTTTGAAGAGACGGTGCCCCGCGTCTCTTTCCTCCTTCCTCCTCCTCCGCCTCCCTCCTCCCCCTCTTCCCTGCGTTTCACCCACCCAGCACAGCGTTTCGTGGCCCCACAGGGAGCTCCACCGAAGGCCCCATGGCTGCCGTCCGCATGCGTCCCGCACACCCATTTCGGCACACCCCTCACACGTTTCGTGGCCCCACAGGGAGCTCCACCGAAGGCCCCAGTGCTGCCGTCCGCATGCGTCCCGCACACCCATTTCGGCACACCCCTCACACGTTTCGTGGCCCCATAGGGAGCTCCACCGAAGGCCCCATCCGCATGCGGGCACCCATTTCGGCACACCCCTCACACGTTTCGTGGCCCCATAGGGAGCTCCACCGAAGGCCCCATGGCTGCCGTCCGCATGCGTCCCGCACACCCATTTCGGCACACCCCTCACACGTTTCGTGGCCCCACAGGGAGCTCCACCGAAGGCCCCAGTGCTGCCGTCCGCATGCGTCCCGCACACCCATTTCGGCACACCCCTCACACGTTTCGTGGCCCCATAGGGAGCTCCACCGAAGGCCCCATGGCTGCCGTCCGCATGCGTCCCGCACACCCATTTCGGCACACCCCTCACACGTTTCGTCACATGCGTCCCGCACACCCATTTCGGCACACCCCTCACACGTTTCGTGGCCCCATAGGGAGCTCCACCGAAGGCCCCATGGCTGCCGTCCGCATGCGTCCCGCACACCCATTTCGGCACACCCCTCACACGTTTCGTGGCCCCACAGGGAGCTCCACCGAAGGCCCCATGGCTGCCGTCCGCATGCGTCCCGCACACCCATTTCGGCACACCCCTCACACGTTTCGTGGCCCCACAGGGAGCTCCACCGAAGGCCCCAGTGCTGCCGTCCGCATGCGTCCCGCACACCCATTTCGGCACACCCCTCACACGTTTCGTGGCCCCATAGGGAGCTCCACCGAAGGCCCCATGGCTGCCGTCCGCATGCGTCCCGCACACCCATTTCGGCACACCCCTCACACGTTTCGTGGCCCCACAGGGAGCTCCACCGAAGGCCCCAGTGCTGCCGTCCGCATGCGTCCCGCACACCAATTCGGCACACCCCTCACACGTTCCGTGGCCCCATAGGGAGCTCCACCGAAGGCCCCATGGCTGCCGTCCGCACGCGTCCCGCGACACCCATTTCGGCACACCCCTCACACGTTTCGTGGCCCCACAGGGAGCTTCACCGAAGGCCCCAGTGCTGCCGTCCGCATGCGTCCCGCACACCAGGTGTGTGGCGTGCCGACATGGGCGTCGCGGCGCGCGGGCGCTGCCGTCGGGGTTCCCAGGGAAGCCCCCTGCAGAGGCGACGCTCAGAGTCACGAGTACCGAGAGTCACGCAGACCCAAACTGTTCACAGTCGTATACATACATTTACACTGGGCGTATCCATGCACGCATTCATGCGAATAGAATCAATCGCGCGCAGATTCATTCATAATCAGACTCGCTCGCGATCCGACTCGCACGCGCTCAAGCTTTCATATTCGGACCTATCGTCTTCGTTCGTGTTGTGTACACTGCCACGCATTTCGGCACACCCCTCATACAGCTCGTGGCCCCATAGGGAGCGCCACCGAAGAAGATGTTCACAATTGCGGTACTCTCAACTGCATATGGTTGGGCCCTTCGCCAAGCTAATTTTGTTTGACGCGACTCCCTTTGCCCCGGAAGTTTTGCGGGGGCACCAGCACTACCGTGAAAACGACACGGCGCGTTTCGAAATCGGAAACGAGGCCCAGGAACGGACAGCGGGCTCGGGACGACAGGCCCGACTGGCCTCAGCCCCGCGCCCGCGCACCCCCACCCCCGTGGGAGTGGCACATGCGGGGACGCCCCCCCCCCCCCCCCCCTGGCGAGGGGAAGGCGCAAAAAAGTCCTCCGCGTTCTTAGCGCGGCCTCCTACGGAAATATTTATCGAGCTGTGTCTGCGACGTCGGCAGGGGGAGAGGGAGGTAAAAAGGAGAGACAGAGGCGGTGGAAGAGGTACTGTTCTCGGCGGCACTGGCAAAGCCTCGCACCTCAAGCGATGTAGATGGCGTCTGTGCTGGTGTAGGCGCTGGCGACGCATCTGTAGTCAATGCAGGCATCGCACTAGATCCTACTTATTCCTGGGTTTCTTGCTCTTGCTCGCCTGCCCCCCCTGCCGCCGTTGAACGCCAGCGCCTCCACTTCCTTCGCCGCCTTCGACCTCGTCGCAATGTCGCACTGGAGGCACACTCCCACTGCAGCCAGAGCACCATTGCGCCTCAACATCTTCAGCGACTCCTTCAACCCAGGGTAGTGGTTCACCGCGAAAATCCATGTGCACTCTCCCGCCTCCATGCTCTCCTCTGCGTTCTTGCTCTTCACCTTAAAGCACCTCGTCGCCACGAACTTCAACTGCTGGTCCTGCACCATCTTCCCAAACTTCAGAAGCTCGCCCAGCGCTGCCTTGGCGGCCTGCGGTTCGATGCCCTGCTCCACGGCCGCCAACAACGTGTCCATTTTGTCCCCCACGGCCTCCGACATGCGAAACAGGACCGCCCTCGCCAGCGCGCCTGGCCGCTTGCCTAGTGGGTTGCCCATGACGTCCTCCTGCTTCTCCTTCGCCTTCTCCTTGGCCTTGGTTCCCTCTTCCTCGTAGTGCGCCACTGCCTGGTCCAGCGCGGTCGCCATCTTCTGCGTCGGCTTGAGCGTGATCACGAAATTGTCGCCCCTGTGCGCCGACCTCGCCATGCCCTCGTGCTGCAGGACCAACCGTGAGAGCGCCTTGGCCAGAGGGCCCACCACGTCGGGCTGGTCGCCTTTGCCCTCGCCCGCGACCCCCGCCTCTGCCGCCGCCCTCTTGTTCTCGTTGCTGCCCACCGACACCTGCACCTCGCCAATCGGCTTGAACATCGCACACTGCAGCAAGTACAGGTTCGGTAGGGGGGGGCAGCGGGTTCAGGTGGTACTGACTGTTTAGCTTGAGCCTCAACTTCTCTGGAACGGACCGTGCACTGTTTCTGTTTAGTGTGCCTCACCAGCGTGTCTTTTCTCGTGAATATCTTCTGGCAGTGAGGGCATACCTTTAGTTTCAAATCCATATCTGCGAGGGCTTCTGCTGCTGGGTTTGCGTATAGTCTATGGGCCGCATGTTTGTGATTGACTAACCCCTTTTCCCCATTGCATTTTTGCCCACACAGGCTGCACTCCAGCCACACGATGGCTGCCGCGTCAGTAACAGTGTCCATCTCACCGCCGTAAGTCAGCACACGGCGGAAGCTGCGCGGCTCAAGGGAGGCGAGCCAGCGCAGCCAAGGCTCGGCCAGCCCAGGCGCGTCGCCGTGCAGCTGCACAAGTCGACAGACCGCGAGTCGCTCCTGGGCATCCGCAGCCTGCCACATCTGCCTCATGTCCTCAAGCAGCAGCGACAGCAGGCCCGACTGCTCCCCCTGGCCGATCTGTTCGGACGAGAAGCGCCCAAAGATGACCGCTCTGACCGCCAGTGTCGGGTCGTGCATGTCATCGCTGGGCTCCCTGAAGGCCGGCCCAAACACCTTTCTCCACCACCTCAGTCTCCTCAGTAGCAACGTGCTCTTGACCGTCGGCGTGCGGGCCTGCTTCCTGATCTCGCGGTTGGTCTTCTTGTACAGGTGAGCTGGTGAATTCAATAGCCCTCGAAGTTTTTTCACCTGCCAGCTCTCCAGCCTGTTTAGCTCCCTCTTGGTGAGGCTGGCGATCTCCAAGCAGTACAAACACACCGAGCGCACTAGCGCCTTCCATAATCTGATCTTCAACTTAGAGCTGAACCCACTCTTGAATGCGCGGCGAAGCAGGCGCGCGTGAGTAGAGTTTGCGGCCCTGATGCGGCTGGTGACCTCCACGTGGTGTGTACCCGTCGCCGCCAGCTCAACACCCGAATACTTGACAGTTGGTTGTGGGTGTAGTGGGAAGTAGTCGTCTCCCTCCCACGTCGCAATGCCTGTGTTCCGCGCGCGAATGTCCTTCAACCTTTTCATACTCCCGGCTCCCGTCGGCGCGAGCAGCATCTCGGTCTTCCTGGCGTTGACTCGCACCCCTCCTGCTTTGATCTCACCTTGCAACACCTCCAGGACAATGGATGCATCGTCGTACTCCTCGATCTCCGCGGACGTGAGCAAGTCGTCCAAGAACTTCAGCTGCGAGACATCTCGTCCTCCGTCAGGCCATCGTTGCTCCGAATCTTCTTCAACGAGGGGTCGAAATGCACCTTGATGGCTGTGATCTCCTGCTGGCGAAGCTCGTTCGATATGCGATAGAGAATCCCATCATCGGCTGCCACAAAGAACCCAGGACTCTCGACTCCTCCCTGACGCACTCCTTGTTTGACCCAGATCCGTGCCACAGGATTGTGGGTGGTGACGTCCCTGAACAGGTAACACATACCTTCATGAAGCTCCTCCAACGTCACTCGGGCATCCCACCGCACTTCGAGCGCCTCCAGACTTTTCCAAACATTTTCCCTGACAACCCCGTCGAACGCCTTCTCGATGTCTGTGAGTACCGCCAACAACATCGGCGGAGGTTGGATGAGCTCCCACTTATTGTTGCTCGGTTTGCTCGCTGACGCCGCACAATCACTTCTCCTGCCACTGCTACTGCATCATGTGTACCCCCCCCTGGCATAGCTCCAAACTGCGTCGGTGAAATATCATGCGCCACCTCCCTCATCGCAGCATATGAAGTGACTTTCGCGTACGCCTTCCCCACGTGACTGATCAAATTGATGGCCCTATAGTCCTCCGACGCCGAGCAACGGTCACCCTTTGGTTTGCGCAGCTGCATGGCTTCGCCGTCCTTGAACCCCTGCGGAGCGTCGCCCAACGACTGAGCCGCGCTAAAGACCTGCAAGGTGGGCGGCGCGAGCACGTCGATAGCCAGCTTCCACGATTCGGCAACAGCTCCGCCAGGCGGCCCCACCTTTGGCCACCGCAGCGCGGGCCCCCCCTTCAAGTTGGGCAACTCCATGATGTTCTCTTTTACCTCCGCCAGGTCGTAGTCGCCAATCCTGTCGTCATCGCGCACATTCCTGCCCGCCTGGCGCGGTCGATCCTCCAATTCCATCGCCTGGCCGTCACACACTTCACAGATGCTCTGGGTGCGCACGCGCTGGCACTCCTCTGCGTCGAAGCGCGGCAGCCCTGTCTCTGGATCTTTCACTGTCACGATGGGGGCTGATGGCTCAGGTGCTAACTCATTCACAACGTTGTGGAGTCGTCTCAAGTTTCTCTGACCTGCCGCTCGCTCAGCCTCTTCCGCCATTGCCGCCGCCTTCTGCCTTTTCTCACTCCTGGTAGCCGCCGTCGCCAGCTTCGCCGCCCCGTCGAACCTCGACTGAAAATGCGCCCGCAGCTACCGAGCACCAGCTGGAAGTGCCGCCATTTGATACTGCCAGTACTGCTTTGCCCCGATCAACCTCAAGGTCTCGTCGCCGAACACTGCGCCGACCCCACTTCCCCGCCGCTGGCGGTGAGATATAGTCCTGCATCGCCGCCTCGATCACAACCCCCTCGAGCTCATTGAAGTACTCTGATGGGGGCTCGCACCGCCTGTCTGCCCCGCAAATGTCAGCCCAGTCCTCCTGGAGCCCCTTGGCCTCGAGCCCCTCCCTGACCGTTAGTATGAAGTTGAGCAAGCGGTCGGGGAGCCCCTCTTGGTTGTCCGCATCCCCCTCCTCCAGACGCACCTTCAATAAGTCTGCGCACATGAGTTCCCTACGCCATCGAAACTTGCCTGCTTCTTCCACCGCCTGTGTCTTCACACCTGCAAAAATGCGCGACCCCAGTGGCCTGTGGCCCCTATAGCCGCACAGATTCACTTGGAGATCGGCCCTCGGGTACGACGAGTGCCCGTATCCTCCTCGCCGTCTCACCAGCACATAGTCAATTGTGGTCCACGTACCTTGCGGGCTCCTCCACGCGCCATTGAATCTTCCTCGCTTGCCGAACGTGTTCAGCGCCATGAGCCCCCAGTCCTCCATTAGGTCCATCAGCGCGTGGCCGTTGGCGTTGATCGTTGGCCCAGTCCTACGCACACCAGCAAACCCCGCCCAAGGCAGTAGAGGTGGGACGTGCGCGTTAGCGTCCAACGTGACGATGAGCGACGCCCTGACTGGTACTTGGCCTACCGCTCGGCGACACACCTGCCAGAACAGGTCTCTCGCCTCGAGGTGCCTCTCTCGGTACTCCATAGCTTCAAGTCTTTTCGGCACATGTCCAGCCTCGTTGGTGGGGGCGTAGCCGTTCAGCACGTAGATGTCCCGCTCGAACCTTTTCTTGCTCATACTACGAAGCCGTACTCCCTGCAGCTTGCCCTCCAACAATGCGTGCTCACACCTGACCTCGCCTTTCTGGAAGTACTGAAGATTGATGGCCGTGAGGCATCCATCACGCTGCCCTCGTCCTGATCTCGCCAGCGAGCGCACCTCGAAAATGCCAGACTTCCAAGTCTTTCCCAGATCCATCTGCGTACCTTGCATGGTGAAGATGGCCACGCTCTCCTTTTTCTGGCCAACTCTAACAACTCGTCCAGTCTCCCCACGCGTCGTAGCGACTCGACGTTGAAACTCCACACCTTCAGTGTTCGTTGCTTCCACGTGGCTCGCTGCTCTTGATGCTCATCATCCCTTTTTGACCTCACCAACCCACTATCACCAGCTCGATGCGGCAAGTGAATCAGCTCCGCGACAGTCTCTGGAGTGACCATCTGCGCTGCTGAGGCACGCGTGATCCTCTGTCCACGATACCATGCCACACCTGCCACCAGCGCGAGCCGCGCTGCTCGCCTCAGGGCACGCTTGCCGCGCATCGCCCGTACGCCTTTTTCCAGCAACCACCTCGGCCCAGCCCGAAGTTGCTGTCCTCGCGGGTCGGGCACCCCGCGAACGCTCACCTCGCAGTGGTCCGTGAAGCACTCCCCTTCACCACGTCCCCGCTGTCCACATGGCGCGGCCGACTAGGGGGCAAGCACTGGCCAGGACTTGCGACCTGGCACAACCGTCGCTGCGACGCAACCGCCGACCTTCCGCCAGCTTCCGCCGACCTTTCAGTATGTCCGAACGCCTTCAACGGCTTCCGCCGACCTTCCTTTCCGCCGACTTCCAGGCATTTCGATTCGGTTCCCGACGCGTTCATGCTCTTGAAGCGAGTCCAAAATCGAGCGCCCCAATTTCCGCCCTCAGGGCGGCGTCTCCGTTCATTGCATCAAAATTAGGGTGTGAGGCCGGCAAGCGTTTAGCGCGCGGGGCGGCCTTTGCAACCTCAATCACGAGGGCTGCGCGGCACGCTTTCCGTTCGGATCTTTCGGGGGGAGGAAGGGAGAGGGAGAGGGAGGGCACACAGGGAAAACGAGCACGGAGGCTCTCCCACGGGCGAGCGGACGCCTTGGACGTAATTAGCCGCGTCCTCCGTCCAGACACTCCCAGAGGGAGGGAAGGGGAGGGAGGGAGGAAGGGCGGAAAAGGAAGGAGGGAGTGACACCCTCCTTCTCCCTCTCTTTCCGTCGCGCCCCCCCTCGGGAGGAAGGGAAGGGGGGGGGGACACGAGGGGGAGAGAGGGATGGGGATGGGGCGAGAGGGGGAAGGGGGAAGGAGAGGGCGTAAAATCAGGAAAAGCAGCAACAAACAATAAAAGGCAGGAACAAACAATAAAAAACACGAGAAACCCGTAAAAACAAACAATTAACAGTTCAACTGTCTAAGAAACTATACGAAACAGAAACATTTTGGAGGAGAGGAGGGAGAAGTGACACCGCTGGCTCATTCCGATGGCATGCCGAAGCAGAGGAGGGGAAAGAGAGGGGAGGAGGGAGGAGGAGGCAGGACAAGAGTCGCTCTTAGCCGCGCCTGCGCCCTGCTCGCTCCTCGAGCGCTGGAGCACGACGGGCGGCGCCGGGGTCGAGTCCTGCGCCCAGAGGAGGCAGACTGGAGCAAGGCCATGGGGGGCAAGGCTGCCTCCGCCCGCGCCACATTCCCTTCTCCGACGATTGATGGCCATCACAGCAGTACGCATACCACCAATAATGATAACACGACTGCTACTGCTGCAACGATTTCTATTACCACTACGACGACTTCTACTAACCACAAGAGCGTCCTAAGCATACCCTCGAGAAGCCCCCATGAGTGCCCCACTGCTGCATCTGAAAGGATCTACAATGACTAGTTGACATGACGGTTCGTCAACCCGTCGCGCGCACTGTGACCACGCTTATGCTATCTCCAGTCTGAGAAAGTGCAAGGCACAACAAGAGAACCCGAGAGAGTGCAAAGGAGTGAGGAACACGAGAGAACAAACAGAGCGAGGTTGCACGGTAGCGGTGGTGGCGAACAAGACTCGTCTGTGCTAGATCTGACAGCAACGTTGTCTGACTGACGGCCACGACACGGATGCTACCGAACATTGCGACGCGCACGCGCGGCCTGGCGCCCGCGGGGGGGACTTAGCGCGCGGGGGCTCGCAGGCCTCTCCGCGCGCGAAAGGCGCAAGAACAGCAGAATCAAAAAATCCAGCGTGCATATGTACTCCAAAATGTGAACGTTCCGCCAACCGACGCAAAACCATATTATAAACCCTTAAAAATTTCAAGTTAGCTTCCAAACAACTCCGGGTAACCCCGCGGAACTGCGGGGGGGGTCTATTTGTTCTTGGAAACTTTGCTTAACAAACACGGAATCGCGCAAACTCATGTTTTTGCGCGTTTGGCGGCAGGTCCCCGGCGCCTTCCGACGCCAGAGCGCTCCCGGCGTTCCTAAGCCCTGGCGCCTCCTAAGGGTCGCCGCGCGTCGCTCTGGATTGCCTTAATGTTTTACGGGCGATATGCAGGCATGCCACTTGAACTGGCAATGAACTTCAAGGAGTGAAAAGTATGCTTGTGGTGCGGGTTGAACACACTGGTTGTCCAAAGAGATTCGGCGCCAAAGTGGTAATCCAATAGGTTCAAGTGACAACTCAAACTAGCTCAATCAGCTTTACGTCCAAGTAATTTAAGTACCAAGCATGCTTTGATATGTACGAAATCCGCTTTACGTCTGGATCAGGGAACCTGGACAACACAGGGGACAAGACCATTGAACTGCAACACAAACACGAATCGAGGGAGCTCGATACAGGCTCAATCAAGGCACCTTGATTATCTCTCTTTCTATCTCTCTCTCTCTCTCTCTCTCTCTCACACACAAACAAACATCAAGATCCAAGACTATAAGTTCCATTATTATGGTAGTTCTGCGTGTGTGTGTGTGTGCGTCAGTTCCAGCTGGCCTCACTCGAAGCTTCGAAGCTACAGGCTCCTGCTTTATCATTTTTACCACGAAAAAACAATACTGATCGAACGCATGGGTTCATGCAATGTGCGTTGTGGCCTGTCCAGCAACGCAAGTAGAAAACACTGGCTTATGTTATTTTCTTGCAGGCCTGCGACAGCTTCGCCACTGCGCGCTCGGATGCGTGCCACGCGGGCGCTGCAGACAACAAATTTACCATACGGCTGCTGCATGGTAGCCGCTGCACTTGCGCATGAACTCATAGTGCACATGCGTTTCCGAGACTGCCTGCGTGCGCATGCGCGCTCGTCGGCGTGCGCGTGCTCGCGCGCGCGTCGATGCGCGCGCGTGCGCGACGACCTAATGTTTCAGAGAAGTGTTTCCCGAAGCTCATCGTGTGTGCGTGTGCGCGCGTGTGCGCGCGCGGGTGTGCGCGCGCGTTCGCGCGCGTCTCTTCGCGCGTACTCGCGCGCGCGGGCGTCGAACCCCCCTAACGCGCCATACCCAGCACCCACCACGCCACCTTCCGGACAGGAGCGCAGACGCGAGTCACGCAGGCCACACCCCAACGCTCTACGAAGAGACCCCCCGCGGCAGGCCACCGAGGGACCCTAAGGACGGCCCGCGCTCAGGCCCACGGGTGCCTGAGAGAGCACATCGACGCGTCATACAGAGCAGCGCCGCGGCCGCCCCTAGGGCAAGCCCTCCCAACCCCACAAACAAGCCCGATGGGCATCCATGGCGAGGCGTTTAACAATGTCTTCTTGGCTATGAATGATACGGGAGAAAGGCCCAGATCATAATAGGTTGAGGGCTATAGGGCTATGGCACTATAGGGCTATAGGGCTATAAGGCTATGGGGCTATAGGGCTATAGGGTTATAGGGCTATAGGGCTATAAGGCTATGGGGCTATAGGGCTATAGCGCCATAGGGCTATAGGGCGATAGGGCTATCGGGTTGGAAGGCTATAGGACTATAGGGCTATAGGGCTATTAGGGCCATAGGGCTATTAGGGATATTAGGGTTTTAGGGCTATAGTGATATAGGGCTATAGGGCTATAGGGCTATAGGGTTGTAAGGCTATAAGGATATAGGGTTATAGGGTGACCATGCTCCTGTGGCACCTGGGCACCCGGGCGTGCCGCCGAAATCGGCGCCACTGCTAACTTAACAATATGAATCCGCTAGGACCCCTACAGAAGCAAGCTCTGATTGGGGAACAAGGTCCATCGAAACCGAGCGAGCGCAGGAGGGCGCCAAGGACCTTGAGCCTTGCAGCGCTGGGGAGCCACGCTCCCCCACCCCATTATCCTCCTTCCCCTTCTCCCCGACCCCTCCTTCCAGAACGTCCGTGGGGACAAAAGTCTGCTGCAAGGTTTTTCCGACAATGATCGACCCACACTGAAAGCAGCGCACACAAGGCACGCTATACGATTGCACAATAGCCGCGGCAGGATGATGAGGAGGCGGTGGCGGAGGCAAAAGGAATGGATGAGGTTCACGAATGGTTGCGCCCTACAATGCGCCATAGGGTTTGCCGTGGGTTTCTTCGCGGGAATGTCCATTGGCCCGCCATAAGATGCGCCATCGGTTCGCCATAGCCAAACATGTTTCGCCACAAGCTACGCTTTGAACCTTCGGCTGCACCACCGTCATCCGATTATGACGCCGCATGCTGCTGGTCTACGGCGCAGGTAACGAATTTGGGCAGAAATTGCGCAATCGACCGCCGTACCAACCATCACCTGCCAATTGGCTCGGCCAGCTTACTCCAGACAGTCGCCCCTGTCCGTCCGGCATCTCCCCCGAGAGAAATCGGGGCCACGCCTGCAAACAATCATACAAACATGCACTTAAGTACGCAAGACTGGCGCCCACGAGTCAGGAACAAGATTCGGAGGCTGCCTGGGCGCAAACCTGGCAAAGCAACGCTGAAAAAATAGGGCGCGACACCACGGGGCTGCATACGTATCACCCTCCACGCGGGACCAACTTCCACTCAGCGCCGCAGCACCACCGCTCGAAGCCTTGGGCACCGCGCACGCGCTGCACGTGAAGATCATGTTCCTCTGCCAGTGCTTCAGCAAGTTCTTGGCACTGCGCCAGGACGCTGCAGGCCTCTCCATCTCAGCGTGGAGCTCCTGTGCCACATGGGACACCTTCGTGCCCGGGATCCCCTTGCCGCTGCGGCCACCCACGAAGTCCTCGCTGGCGCTCAGCAGGGCCCGGAACACGATGTCAGCGCCCGGGTCTGTAGGGCCTAGCTTGTCCAATTCATCTTCTGACAAATTACTGCCATCACCCAGCATGCCCTATATTTCCCGACGCCGGCAGTTCCCCGCGCGCCCATCACGATCTAGGAGGGCGGCACCGAGCAGAAACCACGCAATCGCGTCGTGACGGAGCGCGCGCCAGAGGGCCACGCGTTTGCCGTCGAACGGAAATGAAACGCTGGTGGATGAGCATCCCACTACGATCCACCGTCGCCGCTGCTGCTGGTGGCACTGCACCTAGAATTGGTACTTGCACTGATACTGGCACTGCTCGCCGATGATTTCCTCGCCGATGATATCGCCGAGGTTCTCTGGGCACCGCTGGCCAGGGCTCGGGCGGCGGTCGCCGTCGCCGTTTCAAGGCGCCCACTAGACTGAGACCCGGGTCGAAACTGGCCACCGCGAGCCATCCTCTCTTGAACGCAGTTTTCCGGCTTGGGCGCGCATCCAGGATCCAAGGGGCGCTTGCGAACGAGCTGGAGCCCTAAGCGAGGCACTTGGAGTTGCGGATATATGCAGTCAACGGCGCGACCAAGCATGCCCTGCTCGAGCCCGCAAGCGCCCGCTCAGGTTTGATCCACCAATATTTGGGTGACCCGCCGTGAATACAGGGATCAAGTGCATCACTCTTTCTCTCGGCGCTGCACTTGAGGCCCTCGCCGGGCAGCTCATGCACGCCAGGGACCCCCCCGGGGAAGCGGCTGCACATTCGCACACCCCGGCGTTTTGCACGCGGGCCAGTCGGCGCGGGAAGCAGAGGATAACGAGGGGGGTCGCGACAGCGAGAGACACGACGCGGCGCCCCCGATGCGCCGATCGCACCACACCGCGCCCACACGCAAGAAAGCGCACGCGCAAGCGTCGGCACGCGCGCGCGAACGCCCGCGCGCACACAAATGAGCACACCCTTCGCACTATCGAGCAAGCGCACGCGCGCATGCCCGCAAGCGCCTAGAGTCGCGCACACAAGCACCCTCGGGCACCCCCCCTCATTCGCCTGACCCTAAGAAGCAACTTCAGAGCAGACAATTTCACGCCGGCCTCCGCGCACCTTATCTTAACTCGCCCCAGCGGAACTACTTCCGCATGCGCCACGGCGCGCCTGGGGGGGGGCACAGAGCCCCCCCAAGGCGTGAGCGGGGATGGGGGGGGGGGGCCGTTGCAAAAATGGTAGAGTAGTCTGCCACATGGTCGGCGCCGTCGCATAGGCGACACGTTACTGGGGCGAATCTCTGCGCAGCATGCGCGAGGCATGTCAGCATCTCGTCTCCCGGGAGGTCAACTGGGAGCGCAGCCTGGCATTCGCGGGGGCGCCCGTCGGTCTGCCACGGGGATGCTAGGTGGCCGCGTACTGGGCATCGCCCTGCCCATGGTCTTCGCAAGAGCCATGAAACACAGAAGCCGCATCTGTCGTCGGGTTTGACCCAACTTCCCATGTCTGGAGACACCGCACGGCCAGGCATCTTCCGGGTCTACCCGACCACCCAGCCGCATTGGGACGATCCCAGGGGCCGGAACGGAACGCCCCGGCGCCATCAATCTGGGTTCTTGCACTGCCCCCGACAGATCCGCAGTGACTGGGCGATTCACGGCGCGGGCGTTGACGGCGTCGGGAGGGCCCTCTAGGGCCCAGCAGTGTCTTGCCAAGCGTATCAGGTCCTCATGCGTAGGCCAGCGAATGACTGACTGCCTCCGCTCGTGAATGAGGAGGCCCTTCATCCTGCATGGTCGTAGAAAAAGGCCACGGCACACGCCTGGGTCAGCCGGAGCGAGCAGTAGGCCTCGAGGGCTCTCGGCGCTCGCGGACCGGCCACTAGGGTCGTTCCTATGTCGGCCGCCTGGGGGAATCGCAGTCCAGTGGGGGGGTCTGGCCAGCATCGCGCATATCCAGCAGCTCGGAGATCGCATTGCGAGTAATTGCGTCGGGCGCGGTCTTGCCCCGCCCAGTCGGCCCTCGCCGCCCCCTCGTTTGCCGACCAGACGAGTCCCGCGAGGTTCATGAGCATCACGGCATTGGTGCAAGGCGTGGCTGGGTCGGTTTGCCAAGGCGGGGGCGGCGATGGAGGGCGGGGCATCCTGGGGGGCCCGACCTGCTGAAGGCCGGGGTGGCCCTCTGGGCGCCGCTCCCATGCGAGGCGCGCCATGAGCCGGAGCCGCAAGGTTGCCTCGCGGGAGCGAGGCTGCGTTCCAATGTCGTTGCCCATAGCCTGCGTGGAGCTGGCGCCCCCTCCACGAGGTCCTCGATCGTGGAGAGAACGCGTTTCACGGGCGCTTGCCTTGGGAACATTTGGTGGCGCGTTTCGAACCGGGGGGCGGGCCCGCCCCCCAGCGCTCCGCGCCGTCGATCAAAACCAAGGGGGCCCCCCTCACCCCCGATACCCCCCCCCTCCCGAACCCTTCCCCCCTCTTCGGCCCCGGCGCTGGCGGCCGCCAAGCGGCGCCCACGGCGGGGGCGCAGCAACGATGGCCAGAGGCAACCCCCCCCCCCCGCAGACGCCCCCCGCCACCGCCGCCCGCCGCCGCAGGCGCCGGCGCCGGCCCAGACATGGAAATCGCCATACCCGCCGCCCAGCCGCCGCCGACGCAAGCGCCGGCCCGCGGAGAGTGGAAGCCAGGGGGGAGGGGGGGGAAGTGGTTCGAACCCCCCTCCGTCACGGGAGGGGGGGGGGGCGTTGAATCCCCCCTATCCATCCAGGGGGGGGGGGGGCTGGTTGCAAACGCCTCCAAGCGACCACAGGACGCGCTCTCCCCGATCGTGGGGCCGCCGCCTGTTCCGCGTCTGCGCGCGCCGGTCGGGCCGCATCTCGGGCCGACGGGGGTGCGGGAGCGGGCGGCTGGCGACGCGCCGTCGAGCAGGTCGCATTGCATTGAACCGAGCGGCGAGGCGGAGGGGGCCAGAGCGAGGGAAGAAGGGGGGGCGAGGGCGAGCCGCGAGGGGGGCCCGACCCCGACCCGATCGCGAGGCCGATCTGGCAGATCGCGGGCGGGTCGATCCGCTCACGCCACGTCGCCCCCTCGGCTCGAAGGCGGATCGGGCATTCCGCTGTCGCCCGGCTGCGTTCGCGGGAGCGGGGACGCACGGGGTGGGTTCGCCCAGTGTCCGGAGGCGGCCCCCACCTATTTCTCGCCCCACGTCGTCGCGCCCGCGCGAGGTCGTCGGGCGCAGCGGCGGTCCGTCCTCGGTCGTTCGCCGCGGGCGACTCCTACTCAGCAGGATGCCTCCGCGCGCTTCTCGGGGGAGCCATGTCGGGAGGGGCGGGGGGGTCGCCGGAAGGGGGCTGGCGCGGGGGAAACGCGGGCATCCGAGTCGGTCGTCGAGGCCTGCTCCTCGCCACGGTGGCCTCGCAAGTCTGCCCCCGCGGGCCGCTGCCAGGCCTGTAGATGGGTCACAGGTAACAGTGGGACTGATGCCGCTGCCCGAATCTCCCCCTGGTGCGTCACAAGAGGTCGGAGGAGCTTCGTCTCTCGCGTCCTCTACCCTGGGCGCGCGACTGATCGCCGCGAGCGCACTGCCACGGTTCGCGGCACTCCTCGACTCTTCCCTAGGTGAGCGACTGATCGCCGCAGGCACAAAAGGAGGAGGGGCCTCGGGACTCCACACAGGGGGCGGCGGGTGGACCGGAAGGTCGTCGCCGTCTTCCCCCTTCGCGCACGGCTGATCGCCGCGAGCACCTTGTCATCATCCGCAACGCTCCTTGGTTCCCCCCTGGGGGAGCGACTGACCGCCGCCAGCGCACTGCGGGAAAAAGGCCCGCGAGTTTCCTCAGGGGGCGGCGGGGGGACCGGAAGGCCGCTGCGATCACGTCTCCGTCGCGACGCAGATATGCGCGGTCGGGGGCGAGCCGATCCAGCATCACTCCGCCGCCCCGTTACGTCGGGGACAGAGCGACCATCTACCTGAGTCCGCGTCTCCCCTCGCGGCCCCCCACCGCCGCCAGGATGGAGGGCTCGAAGGGGCGGCCCCTCTGGCGCCGAGTCACACGGTCCAGCAGCCGATTCCTATCATCGTAACTGGGTCCGCCCGCCCGCGCAGCGGCGGCGCGCCCCTGCTCGGCTTCCGAGGGCATCCGTTGCTCAGGAGCGCGTCTTTGGGAGGCCCCCAGCATAGCTCTGCCTCGCGGCGCGCCCTGGAGCGAGGCGCGGCCATCAGCTCCTGCGACGTTGCGCGCATGGTTCTGGGGATCATAACCATCCGAAGGCGCGCCGTCGAGGTTGCCGCGGCGTTCCGTCTCGACGGCGCCAGGTGCCCCGCAGACCCGGGCAGGGTCGAACGGGGCGGTCGGGGAGATGTCGTCCGATTGCTCCCCAGGGACGCGACAGGACGGAGCGGGTGGACTTTTCGTGTCATCTTCTTCCCTGGGTAGGCGACTGATCGTCGCAAGCACACTGATGAGGAATGGAGCGCCCCCTGGCCCCTCCCCCGGCCGACCTGACGTTCGCAAAGCTGGAGGAGTTAGGGGGCTCGTGGTCTGGTGCGCGAATAGGCATCGCACCTGCGCCTGGCGCACATTCTCCCCGCGGTTGGCGGCTGATCGCCGCGAGCACATCAAGGTTAGACAGAAAGATGGGGGAGTGTCGCCGTTTCCTGACGCGTGGTTCCCGATCAGCGTCGGTACGGCAGCATCCTCAACCGTCCTGCCGGCGCGATCTGATGGGAGATCCTCCTAGCGGGGGGCGCACGTGGCCGAGGCAGGCCCATCCCTGGGGCCCGTGCCCGAGCGATCGCACACGTTCCCGAGGAACCCGAGGTCTCGAGCGTCAGCGGGCAATGCCAGGGCTCCCAAGCCACGCACTAACCCTTCACATTCGTCCCCAACCTCGGTCCCCAGGGCACTATGACGGAGCCCATCGACCCCGTCCTCCATCCTCGGGTCGCTTAAGCCGAGGCGAAGACCGAGGGGGGGGGCAGCAGGCTCGCCCGGTTGATAACGCCCGCGCGACGCGGCCCACCCAAGCGCGAGGCCGGCCCGCCCGCGCAGCGTACAGGCGCCCCCTCGAGCCCTTGAGCCAAAGGGCTACGGACTGGCTGGCGGGGATACGCGAAGCGTCAACAATTCCGGTTCAAAGCCGGGCTCCCGCTGGAATTACGGGCCTGCGAGAGGGTAGTATTTCAAGGGGGGTCGAGGAGTGAGAAAGTATGCTAGCAGGGACTTCAGGGGACGGAACTTCGGAAAGGAGGGCACATTGCAGCATCATTGTTACATGCTAGGCTTACTCTGGATATGTTCATCCTCCTCTTCCTCCTCCTCCATCTCTACTCTCCTTTCCTCTTCCTCCTCCTCCTCCTCATCCTCATCCTCCTCATCCTCAGCCACCTCCTCCTCCTCCTCCTCCTCCTCCTCCTCCTCTTCATCCTGTTCCTCTTCCTCCTCCGCCTCCTCCTCCCTCTCCTCTTCCTCCCCCTTTTTTACCTCTTCCCCTAATATTAATCCTCCTCCTTTCCCCAATCCTCCTCTGCCAGACCCACCCCACCCTACTCCCCCTTAACCCCCCACCCCCCCACCCCCTACCCCACCCACCCCCCGCTCAAGCGTCCTCCTTGCCTTCGGTTCGGCGCCGCTCGTCCCGCCAGTCGCCCTGGCCGCTCTTTGCCTCGATCCAGGGCGCGCGGCTGAGCGGCTGGCGAGCAGCCAAGCGAAGAGGCTCTACCCCATCCCATTTCCCCGTTACCCCTCCTCGTCCAGCCATCCTCCCCGTTGCCACCACCACCACCACCCATCCCAACCTCCTCTCAACCCTCCTCACCCCCACCCCACATGTTCTTGTCGTCCATTCCGCATTCCCACGCAAAAGTCCACCCACCTGACACGGGCCTCCATGGTCCTGGCCGTGCGCTGCAAAACCCCAAGCCCCCACCCATCGTGCACAGCCGCAGGCAACTGAATCTGGGAACGCATAAAGATAATAGCTATACCAACCGTGCTCGAATTGCTATCATAACCAGCAGGGGCAGTCACAATAGTGAGAATTGCAACGGTGATCCTGACAGAACTGGCCACAACAGTAAGACGTCAATGGCACAAGTACATAATGCAATGCCAGTATATGGACTGACAACGTCATGGTATTACATCAATCAGTGTAGAGCGTCCGGATATGAGAACATGGTGTCTGAACAAAGGAGCTACACGAGATGGTTTTGTACGAGCTATATGATGGCACTCTGAAACAAGGTGGCAGCAAAGCGGCGAAACAACGTGATGATAAATGGCTCTGTCACTCCCTCGTACAACGGGCGTGGTAGAAGAATAGCTCGACAGAACGATCCCCATCTGAACAAACCCCTGATGCTGAACTCCGTAAATCGGGTAAGCAGACGAATCTAACGCAGCGCAACTGCCTAACACTACAGCACCAGGCGACAGACAAAGCTGGGCTCGACCGAACTCGCAAACACCCACTTCACCCTGTGCGTGCTGCTGCTGCTGCTGATACTGCTACTCCTCCTCATCCTCCTCCTCCACCTCCACCTCCTCACACTCCCCGCCACACCTGCCCTCGCCCCTATGATGACTTAAATATCAGGCTCTCTCTCTCTCTCGATATCGCTCTCTCTCTCTCTCTTTCTCGCTCTCGCTCTCGCTCTCTCTCTCTCTCTCTCTCTCGCTCTCTCTCTCTCTCTCTCTCTCGCTCTCTCTCTCTCTCTCTCTCACTCTCTCTCTCTCTCACTCTCTCTCTCTCTCTCTCCTTATGTGCATGGATTGCGCGTAGTCATGCTGACCAGCGTGAACCCAAAACAGCGTGGCTCTTGCAATACATGCTGTGCAGCACATGCTGTGCAGCACATGCTGTGCCACCAACGCAGTGCAATATCTGTAGCGCAATATATGTAGCGCAACACGTTATTGCAATCTAAACTGGGTAAGACTGTGTAGAACTTATGTTGTGCAATGAATGTTATGCACTATGTTGCGTGCCATGTACATTGTGCGATGTACGTCGTGCAAAACCATGTTGTGCAATGTGTGCTGTGCAAAACCATGATGTGCTGTTGCGTGTAATGGATGCAGTACAATATGTAGCGCTATGCGTGTGATACCCGACGTGTTTTGCAATAGATGGGACGGGATATGTGCGATGCAACATGTATGTACGAGGTATGTACACATGTGTGGTGCAATCTACGTGGTACAACATATGCTGTGTAATATGTGTTGTGCAGTCTACGTGGTGCAATACATGTGGTTCAATCGGTGTGGTGCAATCTATGTGGGACAATATATATGAAAGCCATATATGTGGCGAAATGCATGTCACACAACATATATATACATATGCTGGGCAATAGGTGATGTGGTGCAATATGCTTGGTGCAATATATGTGGTGCAATCCACTCTGCTGAACTTGAAGTCGTCACCTCCACTGCTCGCGCAAACATCCCACCCACCCACCCGCAACTTGGTTTGCAAAACCTCGTAAGACCGACTACGACGACACTGACGACAACGACTAGGACGACACCGACGACGTCTCCGACGATTTCGACGACGACAACGACGCCGACGCCGACGACGACGAAGACGACGACAACGACGCCAACGAAGGCGACGACAAGGGAGGAGGAAGGACGACGACGGCGACAACGACGACAACGACGACAACGACGAGGGAGGAGGGAGGACGGCGACGACGCGCGCGAACGACGACGAAGGAGGAAGGACGGCGACGCCGACGACGACAACGACGAGGGAGGAGGGAAGACGACGACGACAACGACGACGACGACGGCGACGAAATAGAAGGGACGACGACGAGACGCCGACGACGGATGACGACGACGACGACGTGGGAGGAGGAAAGACGACCACGGCGACAACGACGACGGAAACGACCACGACGACAAAGAGGACGACGACGACGAACACGAGAAAAGACAGAGGACGACGTCGGCGACGACGACGACGACGACGACGCGGGAGGAGGGAGGACGGCGACGACGACGACGACGACGACGCAAGAGCGCGCGCGCGCACGCTTTTGTTGAAAATCCGTGTTGCGAAACCTTGGGTTTTTGTATGTTTTTTGGACGCACGATTTTGAAATCTTTCCGACACCGATGGGTTTTGAAGGTTTTCGGCATACGCCCGCGACGACGCGCGCGTCTGCACTGCGTCCCATTTTTTGCAGAGGATTCTCGCGACGGCACACGCGCAAGGGCGTTCGACAGGTTTCGACATGCGCGCGCGCGCGCGAAGCCCGTTTGGTAGCATTTGGTGAAAATCTTGAAAAACCTATGGTTTTCTCAAGATTTCGCAAGAGCTCGCGCGGAAGCTTTTTTAGAAAATCAGTGTTGCGAAACCATGTGCTTTTGTATGTTTTTGGGACGCACGATTTTGAAATCCTTCCGAAACCGATGGGTTTTGAAGGTTTTCGGCATACGCCCGCGACGACGCGCGCGTCTCGCGACGGCACACGCGCAAGGGCGTTCGACAGATTTCGACATGCGCGCGCGCGAAGCCCGTTTGGTAGCATTTGGTGAAAATCTTGAAAAACCTATGGTTTTCTCAAGATTTCGCAAGAGCTCGCGCGGAAGCTTTTTTAGCAAATCAGTGTTGCGAAACCATGTGTTTTTGTATGTTTTTTGGAAACTCGATTGCGAAATCCTTCCGGCACCGAAGGTTTTTGAAGGATTTCGGCATGCGCGCGCGACGACGCGCGCGTGTGCACTTCGTCCCATTTCTTGCAAGGGATTCGTGAAAAAGTGCAATCTTAGAACAAAAAATGTCACCGCATAGTGTTTTTTACAAGGGAACCTCAGGGGGGGGAACCCGGTTTGGCTGGGATGATATGATTTCATATTTAGGATGGACGAGTGTGCAGAATACATACATCTATGTATATATATATATATGTGAAATCATACTATCCCAGGGGGAGCTGATAAGTCCGGGGGGAGGGGGGGTAGGGTCTATTCTCTTTTTAGAAAGGAGAATCTAACGGCGGCGACAAGCTGCCACGGCGGCGACGGGGCGACGGAGGCGGCGACACAGCCGCCAGACCAGCAGTCAGGCCCAGACGACGGGCGGCGACGAGGCGGCGACGGGGCGACGACGGCGGTGACATATACACACACACACACACACACCAAGAGCGAATGAGAGAGAGGGGGCGATGGAGGGGAGGATGGGAGGGAAGGCGCGGGCGAAGATGAAGAGCATGGAGGCCTTCTCCCGGGCGTCGCCGCCCCCCCTGTCTCTATCTCTATCATTATCTCGCCGCCGGTCCTCGCGCCAGGGCAGCAGAAGGCTGAAGGCCAGTGGCACTGGAGGAGCAAATTGAAGCCTGAAGACAAACATGTGAGCGATGATCAGTAACGGGTCTCACGCGAGATGGCATGGCGACCTTACGCGGTGGCTTGCGCAGGCCAGCAGCGCGGAACACTACAGTGGAGACGAGGGCCCGCACGCGCGACCTTACACGGGCAGCTTACGCGCCAATGTCGGCGCAGACGACCCCGTTTCTGGCGTCGCTCGTGTCAAGGCCATTAGGCTCTGGGACCATGAGAGATTTATTGGGTTAGCGAACGGTTTGCAAGTCGCAAGATTGCTTGCCAAAGATTTGGAAGGCGTTCGAAGCTTTCCGAACACCAGGGCCCCTCCCATCAGCTGCACCTAGCCGAGAGCTCGCGTCGGAACGGTCCTGCGAAGCCCGAACCACTGTCTATTGGCCAAGAAACACACAAGCAAAGAGAGCGCAGATCGTGCCTAAGGAGCGGCCGAAAATGCCCCCTTCCACTGGACGCATCGCTACTGGTCATCTGAACTGGCCAAACTGGTGTTGATGTACTTCCCAGTCTGATGAGGGTCTGGCCATCATCCGAAAACAACTCGCCCATGATACTGCCCCAAGTTTTTCGCCTGTCATTACGTCGACGATTGGACAACGACACGCTCCACCAGTTCATGGACACGAGGCGACTGAAGGACAGGTAGACAGAAGCACAGTCTCCAATAATGAGCAAGCGATAACACAAGCACTGCGATGCTCAGGAGTCGCGTTGCGTTAGTGAGTTATGGCTCTTAGATACTTTCCCTGTTAATATCTCCAACCTTAGCTGTCAGCATATTGGCCATGTTTGCCCAAACAGTTTGGGCAAAGTTCGCGAACAATCGTGACAATCGCCCCGAGCTGCAAGCGATGTTGCGACTCCTTCAAACTCGACTGGCACTGTCTGCTGGGATGTTTCGAACACCCACGCCCAACGAGCCTCTCGAGCCGTCCTGGGGGCATGTTCGACCGTCACTGGTGTCCCCAGGGGTCCTCAAGTCATCCTGGGCGCCTTCTGGAGCCCGTGTCGGCCATAACATACTGTGGCCACAGCCTTTTTTTTGTGTTTCCTCGCTCTCTCTCTCACTCCGCAGAAACCGACGGTCTGACTCTTAGTTCGGACCGCGGCGAGAACGTTGCAAGTGGGAAGTATCTGCAACGTGGGAATGCTTGTTCAATCATCGCTGGCTTTGTAATCAAACACCGAGAACCGGCCGCAATTATACAGCCGTGAAGCGGCCGTGAAACTGCCGCGACTCTGCCGCAGGCGTGAAACTGCTGAAGCTCATTCCTATTTTCGCAGCGTCTTTCCACGTGGGCACTGTCTCCAGCACTTTACAAAGTCACCATCACATTGGCAACAAGAGAAGCACAAATAGGGAGACGACGACGATGGCGAAGGGAAAGAAGAAATAGGTGATGATGAAGATATAGATCGTGATGATGATCGATTGCGCACCCTACCCACAATGCGGCCTAAATACAGGAAGTTAAAACACAACTTGACCATTGGGCTAAAGTCATGCAAGGTCCTCCCACGGTGAATTCACTCTGCTGGTCCGGACAGCTGACACGTTTTTGTTCCATTGAGGGATAACGGTGCGCTCATCCTTCGGCGGCACTGGAAGGCCATCTGCCTGCAACATGCTGAAAGAGAGCTCGCGCATGTAGTCGTAAAGCTCAATGTCAAGGCTGTTACGCTCTATAATCCGCTGCCATTGCTCGAGAGTTATTTCACCTCTCGTGATTCGTTCCTGGTCGTCGCTCTCCTCAGCCTTGTGACCTGTAGCATTCAATGCAGTTGATACTGCGTCCGGACGCCATCCCAAGCGCGTTGTGGCAAGTTGAAGGGTGTAGCTGAGATGCTCGACTACGAATATCAAATCGAAATGACGGAGCCGCGATTTGGCCATCTCGAGATCCTCGCGGGTAAACGCAGTTCCCTCGGGCGTGCCGACAACCGCTTGAAGAATGATGTTGTCATGTATGCATGACTTATCTCCTGGCTCGCACATGGGGTACGAGCTCTGGCAAACAGTATCATAATTATCTAAAGGGTGCTTTTCCAATTCCTTGCACGCAAACCACCTGTGCAAAAACATGTTGAGAGGGTGGCGCACGATAGTACTGAGTATCGACGACTTGTTGGTCCCACAGCCAAGATCATCTAAAGTGTGTTCTCTTGATAATCTATCCTCAAGATCGACCCAGTGCAGATCTTCTTTTTTCTCATCGGTCAAATCTGCCCACCTCGTGCATCCGTGGGGCACCATGTGACCAATATCTCTGGCCAAACAACCCACAAACATTCCTGCAGTGTGGTACGGGCCTGGTATGTGAAGATTAAAAACTGGTCCTTTCAAACGTTTGATTGGGCCCTCCTGAAGCCACTGCGGCTTGCGACCCTCGCACTCGGAAGCTCCGTCTGCCTCGCTTTGGACTGTCGTTTTCTTCCCCGCGGTGTGTTCGGAAGGGATTTCCTTTTCCCCGCGGTGTGCACTATCGTCCTTTTCCCCGAGACGAAGTGATTTCACTTGACGAACCCCGAGAACAATGAGAACCACAAAGAATACGTCACGAAACATGGTATCAGAATTCACTTGTTATTGACAAGAACGGAATCATGGAATAGAAAGGAAGGGTCAAACTTGAGCAAAACTGGCTACGGAAAACTGTGGCCACCACCACTGAGGACCGAAGAAGCCACCAATTCGGCCGAATCCTAGCAGCAATCGTTGCGAACAACTGACGGATCACACGCGAAGCGCGCTTTCCATTACCCCATAGCCCGGTAATTTCAACAGCCTTGTGGGCTGCAGGTTCTACCCACTCCCCATGGTCCCAACTTCGGCACATCTCTCGGTGCAAAGGCCTCGCAGGATCGTCTTTAAGACCAAAGACGCCGATTGGCGAAGCCATTGCCATACACATAGCTGCTTTGAATACAAGTTGGGACTCCAAACTCGGCCCCACGTGGGCGAGGCGTTCCGTAAGGACCTCCCTCTTGTTCCCGTAACGGCCCAAGAGCCTCCCAAGGCGTTTCAAGAGGCCGCCACGACAGCCAAACTGGTCACCTAGACAGCCAAAGGAGCCCCCAAGAAGCGCACGGGAGGGTTCAAAAGGCCCCTTCGACGTCCAAGGATCGAGAGGCCCCCAAGATAGCCCGAAGAGCGCCCGAAGGGCCCCCGAGACGGTCCCAGAGGCCCCCAAGAGGGCTCAAGAAGCCGCCAAGGCATCTCAAGAAGCCTCCGACAGACGCTCAAGAGGCGTCCAAGGTGGTCCAGAAAGCCCTTCGACGGCCCAGCGAGCAACCGAGAGACGCCCCAGACGACCTGAAGGGATCCTAAGAGACTTACAGAACGGCCCAACAGGTCTGCGAGACCTCAGTAGGCATCCGAAAAGCCACTGAAACCCCAACGCCGTCCAAAGCCCCCAACGACGGCCGCGGAGGACCCCGAGAGGCTGGCGAGACATCGGCCCACCATCATCACCCCCTCCCTCTTCTCAGACATGTTCGGCCATGCCGGGCCAGAGTAGATCACACAAAACCTACGGAATCCCATACCGTACAAGGCGGGACCACAGTAATCGGCAAGGACAGACAAGACCGTTTCGGAACAGACCGAGCCATGACGGTGAAGAGCCCGAACTGTGATTACGATGCGTTTTAGCGCAATGACAAAAAAAGGGCCCTAGAGGTCAAACGGCGGCGAGTGGCGGCGAGCGGTGCATATACACACACACACACATCAAACATGCACTATCTCACACCTGTGAAATTTTATCACGAGCTAGACGGCAGACCGCACAGTACCGCTGGTCTAAATAAGCCTCGAGGGGCAGTAAAAGGAGTACTCGCATGTTGAAACTACTCAAATCAAAGGCAGCCAGGACTCAGTCACTCACTTCCCCGATGGGCGAATATTCACTCTGGCCGTCGCCAGGTATTTCCCTACCTAGGCTCTGCCTAGAAGGGTTCTCACTCTCTGAGCTTAAAAGGGGCCGGGCTGTGCAAACCGCCCCGGGCGGTTCCCCAGGATCCGCCCCGCGGTTCCCCCAGTTACGTCCCCTTAGCTTAGCTTTGCCTATCTCATCTTAGCTTAGCCGAGCTTAACTTAGTTTAGTTGAGCTTAGCTTAGCCCAACCTAGCTTAGCTTAGCTTATCTTAGCGTAACTTCGCCTACCCTAGCTTAGCTTAGTTTACTTGAGCTTAGCTTAGCTCAGCTTGGCTTAGCTTAGCGCAGCATTCGCATCGCATATCATAGCATCGCATATCATATCATAGCATAGCATAGCGCAGCATAACATGGCGCAGCATAGCCAAGCATAAACTAGAATATGCATAGCATAGCGCAGCAAATCATAGTACATCATAGCATCGCATAGCTTAGCTTCGCATAGGACATCGCAGCATAGCATAGCATAGCATGTCACAGTGCAGCATTGTATAGTATAGCATAGCATCGCGCAGCATAGCATAGCATATCATATCATATCATCGCCCAGTATAGCATAGCATAGTTTAGTAAATCAAAGCATAGCTTAGCTTACCGTAGCATAACATAGCATAGCGCAGCATCGCATGGCATATCATAACATAGCATAGCATGGCATAGCGCAGCATCTCATAGCATAGCTTATCATAGCATAGCATAGCACAGCATAGCGCAGCAATTCATGGCATATCATAACACAACATAGCATAGCATAGCGCAGCATATCATAGCATAGCATAGCATAGCATAGCATAGCATAACGCAGCATGGCATTTCATAGCATAGCACATCATAGCATAGCATAGCGCATCATAGAATAGCATAGCGTAGCATAGCCTGGTTTAACATAGCGCAGCCTAAAACACCCTAGCATAGCATAGCATAGCTTAGCACAGCATAGCATACTATAGCATAAGCAAACCCAAATGCGAAAGTGTGGATGTAGATGTAGATGTTGGTGTTGGTGTAGATGTGGATGTAAGTGTAGATGTAGATGTAGATGTAGCTTTAGATGTAGATGTAGGTGTAGATGTAGGTGTAGATGTAGATGTGAGTTCCGCTGCTGATGTTGATGTGGATGTAGATGCAGGTGTATATGTTAATGTAGCTGTCGGTGAAGATGTAGATGTTGCTTTCCTAGATGCTCCAACTCCTAGGTAGGGTCGCACTGGGGTAATTCTTGACCTTCTATAAGGTAGACTCAGGGTCTGGAGTTTCGTCATACGAACTAGCACGTAAGATCTTAACCAGAAAATCCGTAAGTATATTCTTCGTCGGACAATCAACAGCCATCATACTTGTATCGATCCATCGGATCGTATCACAAAAATATGCGTAGATGTAAAATCTCTACTTCTTCCATTCCATTAATCAGAATATCCTGACTTAAACTACCTAAATGAATACTCTAGCGCTTATATTCTGTCTGGCCCAGGCTTGTACAATCCGCCGTCCATAAGTGTCTCATAGACATGGCAGGCTTGTCTTCCCACTTGGTTGGCAGCTTCTTTCCCGCGCCAAGCATCCCACGCGCATCTGCGATGGCGGCGCGAATATGCACGGCAGATTCTACACCCCATAAACAAGCCAGAGTCTCTGCTTGCAATTAAATTCGCACACTCGCTTGATAACTCTACTAGATATACATATAGGGTGAACATGATCACTGTTCCCCATCGATGAACCCAGGCCCTGCGAGTCCACTGAACCTAGCCCTCTGTGATCTGAGTGGCTCGAAACCACCCTTAACTAGATCCTCTTCCCCTGCCCAGCTGGCGCCAGTAAAAATAGAAACTACCATAGCTTGATTCCACTCAACAGCTCCACCTTTGAACGCGAAACCGCAGTCAGCGGACTGGGTTGCATCTTCGAATACACGGTTGGCTTCTTTGAGATGGAGTACCTTAGCGCGACACGCTGCTGTCTGCCGTCTGCTCGCACGATACAATTGTTCAGGTTTACACTGACGTGCAACCCATGACAAAGCTCCCACGACCGATCTGAGCTGCGCCGTCTCGCCCCCACTGCATTTTCTCGCGAAGGCGCTGTCTCTAAGATAGGATGCAGCTTCGATATTCTCATTATTGCCCCCGGCCGCGATACTCACTGCGAAATCTTCATCTTGAACCACTTTTAAACCGCAATAACGGATATTGTCCGACATGGTCTCGCGAATATGAAGCTTTGCTAATACCGAATCGATGATTTCCTGACTTTCATCATCTGCAGCCCAAAGCATGCCATCCACATGTGTACTAGCACGCACGTGACCTCATTCTTGGCATCGTGAATACTGAATAACACAGGCATGCTACGATTCTTCTTACCATGAGCTTCAAATATTTTGCGACATTTCTCCCGTAAGCCTCGCCCTGCGTCACGCGTGCCATAGACAAACATACGCGCGATCAGTGCTCCACCATCCGGTACTCCTTCGAGTCCGTCGGGCGGTGGCTTGAGCAGCATGAGGCGGTCGAGTTCCTGACCCTGGAAGTACGCGGATGGGATGTCGGCACGCTTGAGCGTCTTCTCTGCGCCGGCGGCCCATGATACTATCAACCTTAGCCCTTCTAATTCGCACGTTGGAAAATGCGCACGGATCCCCAGGGACTCCTCCAGATCTCCACGCACGACAAGTCTACTCTTGACTGCGGTGCAACCGAAGGTCCACCGGGCCTGCGAAGATGTTCATTCTTGTCAATCTCAATCCACTTCGTAGGTACCGGGCGGTATCCTTCGCCGAGGAGATTTTGCAGTTCCACGGAATCAATAGGCGCGGCGGCGCTGAACCTCCGCCACGTTCCCCATGTGTCTTGTCTTGCCAGTCATAAACCGCTTTCAACGTCCTCAGATTTTCGATGATATACCAGATTCTTTGCACTCTTTATCTTCTTGGATTGCGGCTCATGAACGGCGCGTTCATTGACGAGTCCGACAAGCAAACCATGTGGAAACACCGAGTGAGGCTTCTCTGCGGGCTAGAAGATCCATGCCCGCCCCTGATGTTCCAGCCCTGCGCATGGCACGAAGAAGTGGGTTCGCTGGTTCGGGAGCTGGTCCGACACAGACCCGGAAACCCTTTCCGCGCTACCATCTGCATTCTCGATTCGTCTGCGCATCACTTCGTTACGGCTCTGCATACCGCGCGCGGCGTCGTCTAGTGACGACCACTGAAGAGGCGGTCGAGTCACTCGCGGCGACCTCGTCGCGGGCGGCAAAGGAACGACCATCCCATCAGATACTTCATCTTCTTCCATTTGGCGAAATGCTTCTTCCATGAACTCGGGGTCTTCTGGACCGGCAGCTCTTCCATCGCCATAGGATGCCCCTGCACAGAATGCTCTTGCACCCTTGGTTCTGGCAGCTCACGTCTTTCGCCCACAAGTGACTGCTGTTGCCCGTCGGGCGGTGCATATCTTTCAACTCCACCATCACGGCGCCTGGGGAGATACTGGCATGCCAACGCTTCCGCCGCAGTGCACGGTCGAAGCCTGTCGACAGCCACGCAGACAGGCACGCCCTCCGCGACAACCCATGCGTTCTTGTCATCGAACCCAACGATACGAGAACCAGTGCTCTACTTAGCAGTAACCTCGCCGTCGGTCGGCCCTGTGCGAAAGCACGCTATATCACCGACCTGATATTATGCAACTAATGGCGTTGCCTTTCGGAGAGCGGCCCTTGCCGCCCCACCCCCGACGTCGCGTTCTGCGGACGCTTTCCTGGCAGACGCCCGGATCGCAGCCTGGCGAGAAAACCCGCCGGCTCCGTCCTCTGCAACATTCGCAAGCACTCCTACGTCGAAAAATTATGCCGTCGAGTTG